AAAAAGCAAAATTATTGAAATAGACAAAGTAATTATGATCTGCTTTCTGTCTATTTGTGCATTGGTTACCATAACAGAAAAAAAAAAATTATTTCTAGAGCAATATTGTTTAAATACTATTGCTTGGGAAATAAAGCAATTTTTACTCCGATTTGGGCCATTGATTTACAAGTAAATAAGTATGGGGGAAGGGCGTAAGCATCACGTTGACAGAAGTCTGTGTTCAACGTCAGTATCGTGGGGGGGGATGTCGCACTTGTCGAGTCACAAGCTCGCCTTGAGGCTGGCTTTCCTCTGCTGCGCACTGACAGATGACTCTATTCTGGCAGGGATTGTAAGGGTCACCTTCTCTTTCCTTATCAGTCCTCCCATCTCGCAGGTTGAGTACGGTTTCCTTCTTGAGTGTTGATCACGGTCATTCTTTGGTTCAGTGACCTTTCTTGGCCTAGGAGAATCTTCTATCAGGAGCTAGTGAAGATGGTTGCAAAGGATCCACTACATGACTGGCTAGGCTCGTTGGCAGATGAGTTTTGCTCCTTTTTGGTCTTGTTTTCACTTGCCTGGCTACTGGTTCGGAATGGGCTTTCTCTCAATGACAAAGCCTTCATATGGGGCTTGGTGGATCTGCTAGACTGTCAATGATGTGACCTTGGCTTAGAACAAGGGTTGGCAACCTGCGGGCCGGATCCAGCCCGCAAAGACATTTTGACCGGCCCGTGAGCCTGATTACCAATGACTCTATTTTTAACATGAGAGACACCTTCAAATGAAATTTGTTATGTCATTTTCCATAGAATGTCTACACATCTCAGTCTAATATTTTTAGTGCACTATCTGCCAGTTATCTTTCATGAGACTTATTTTACCAAATTGCATTGCCTACGTTTAATGTCAAATAATGGATACATATTTGTTATGACCCTTGGCTACATTAAAAGATAACAGAAGCGAAGGGAACGATAAAGTGAACGATAATGCGAAGTAGAAGAAATCTAAAGACAGTTAAACATACGCGCATTATACATACATGCCTCATGAATGTGTGGATGATACCACATGTGTACATATGTAAGTGTATATGTTTGCAACTATTTGTCCTCGTATGTATGGGTATATGTGCTTCGTTTTTGTTTGATGTGTTTGTGGTTTGTTTGTGGAACAATTTTCAATAACAGTTTCAAACTTACACGTCGTAATTTCATCCATTTCACTTCGGTTGATTTTTTTTTCACTTTGAAGTATTTTGACGTTCCTTGAGGAAAAGTAATTTTTGTTAGGTGTTTTTTTTTAATTCTAGATTTTCTTTTGTTTTTCTGATTTCTCAATGTTTATTTTCATTATGGTTTTAAATATTTAGGTTGACAGGGGTCTGCATATGTAATTTTCCTTAATTTTTCATTAATGGCCTTCATCCGGTCTGCAACCCGTCATTATAACACGATCCGGCCCGCGGGGTTGAATGAGTTGCTGACCTCTGGCTTAGAAGAAACAGCCTTGCACACCTACCATTGTCCTTGGGTTCGCCCCATATGGGACCATGCCAGCAAGTTGACAGCTCATATCACTCTTGAAAAGCTTGTGCTCATTGATCATGCATACAAGTGTGACAATATGTCACCCCCATATTCTGGGGTGAAACGAATGGTGTTTCTATCGCTGCTGCCCATGGCCTGAATACTGATTTGGATGATGTGACAGGAGGAAGTCTTGCAAGGCAGCCATCTTTCTCATCAGGGTCTGATTTGATTTTTTGAGCACCAACTCAAGATGAAGATTAGAACCGATAGAAAATGATTGGTTTTGACAGATTTCAGTAAAAGGTTGATGACTGAGGTGAGCTTGGTTTGCATGAATGGTGCTAGGATAGACCACTTTTGTGTACCTAGTTAATGTGAGTAAGTGTTGTTCTTGGCCTGTTCCTGGCTGCATTTTTGGTTATGATCCAAGTTGAGTCCTAACCTCCCCAGTTTGTTTTTGTCCCCTTCCCCTTTGTATCAACTGGGTCAGCTTTCTTCATTCCCCATGGCTGTACTTATTTTATCTTTTCCCTCTCTCTTAGCAAGAGAGCCTCATGATTTTGTCTAAAAGCATAATACAACGGCCTCTCTTAAATCTTTTGAGGGTTGGACTGCTCCAACTAACATCAGTTATATTTTTGTTTGCTTTGATAGTTTAGTTTTGTTTTGGGGTTCATCCCCTCTCTGCTCATTGTATATCAACTATAAATTTTTATGTATATAATCTTATGTTCATGAAATGGGGTGCATTTGATTAGTTAGGTATAGAATAGTAAATGGTAACCAACCTCAACCCAATTCTCCTTTTTTGGCCTTGTGCCACAGCTGTATTTTTTTTTTATAAAATAAAGCTTGTATATAAGTATGAAATTGTAAATGGTTGTTAATGGGAGGTAATTGCTAATTTCTCATGATCTATCTGGATATTTCTGACTGCCACATTGTAGCACCAGTAACAATACATTAATAATAGTTTATTGATAATTAGCACTTACAAATATAAATAGAAAGTGACTTAACATTAAGTGAAGGCTACCAAAAGTGGCATTTAAGGGAGTTAAATTTTTTTTCCTATTTTAAAATATTTCGTGATGAATATTAAAATGAATGGTTTTAGTGTATGCAAAATCTCTTTGAATGATTCTTGGAAATCACTATTATTTTATTACAATTTCATGTGAAATATTCTGTGATTATTATTTCTAGTTGTTCATTTAAAGTTCTGTTATCGCTGAGTTCTTATCTTTGGACTAGATTCTTTCATTAATACACTATTTTTAATGTTGCTTGATTTTTTTTTTTTTTTTTTTTTTTCTCTGAATTATGCTAATTTATCAAGGTACTAAACCTTTTATTTGTTTACTGTACCTTCTCTCTCTCCTCCTCCTTCCTATGGTTATATCTTGACTAGAAAGTGATTGTTTAAATTTATAAACAAAGAAGGTTTGGAAAACTTTTACTCTTATAAAAAAATATACACTTCATTTAAATTTAACTTTAAAGATTAAAAAAATCAGATCAATTTGATACTGTATTTACCTGTAGAATTTAACAAGGGGAAACTTTTAAAAGGATGAGCAAAGACTTGTTCAATAAACTCATTGCATATCTAGAAATGAAATTAGAATCTGATTTTAATTATTTCTTTTGTATAGGTTCAATTGTAGAGTAAATAACAGGCCAGATGATACAAAGTCCACATGTAGTAAATAATTTACTAATGAAGAGAGCAAGTCTTTTTCTCTAAAAAAAACTTTAAATGCTTATTTGCAATTAATTGCTTTAATAGCTAATATAGGAAATAAACATTCAGCAAAACAATTATTTTATAGATAAATTGGCCTCTTTAACTGATACACTGAAATCTAAAAGTAATAAATTACCAAATTATTTATATCTAAGGTAAGATGGAGTGTCTGTTTTGACTTTAAAACCTAAAAACTTGCAGACAACATTAACATTAATTCTTTTATTCACTTTATTGTAAACTTTTCTCACATGTAATAATGTAGAAATCCTGATTAAATCTACAGCAATATCATTTAGTTGTTAGTAGCATAATTAAAACGCCATTAAAATATTTAGGAAGTAGTAAAAAAAAAAAAAAAAATATTAAAGTTTTAAAAATGAATACAAAAATTTTACTGTGTTTTATAAAAATCACTTCTTTAAATATTTCAATTAAATCCCTTTGAATAATTTTACATGGTAATATTAAGTCTTGCAACCATTTGTTTTTTAATTTGGGTTTCATTCACTAGTTTAAAAAGTGCTTTTGTGTGTGTGTGTGTGTGTGTGTATACATATGCTGCATTTATTAAAAGTATGCAACTGTTGAGAAAAGAGGATCTTTGTTCTTTTTTTTTTTAAATTAGTTGTTTTTAGAATTAATATAATAGAATTTTAATTAAAAATTCTGTATCATCCTAAAAAACTTAGCCATCCATCCCCAAGATGACATGATGTTAATTACATATTGTCATTAACCCTATTTTTATATTATTAACCTTTAAATTAGATCTTTAATCCCTAATTTCAAATTAGGCTAATCATAAGAGTTGTCTGGCATAAACCATAATAAATAAAATATAGATTTTATGCTTTTTATCTTATCTAAGCAAATTCCCTGCCTTAGTCAGTTTTAGTTATTTTAAAAGTGAAAATTTTTGTTATTGATGAAATATAAAATGTCTCTGATTAATTCATGTATGCATTTTAAGATGTGCTACTGTTCTGAATGTATTAAGTCTTCATGCCATACTATTTTTCCCTCCCGCCATATCCTTTCGGGACATAGGTATGACCATGGCTCTCTTCACATTGTGTGTTATCTGAATCGGAAAAGATAGTGGAGTGGTTCCTTCTTTTTCCCAAGTATTTTTTTCTTTTAATTCATAGTTTCCTTCCAGATTGACTGCCACCCAAAACTAGAGATCCCAGCCTACCCTGCTATTTAACTTATAGCTGGGCAAAGAAGAGATTAATTCATGCCTTTCCTAAGGACATTTGCATGAAAGTGAATGGTAGGATTTGAACTTAGTTTAATGATTTCACTTTCTGAGTTGTTCTGTTTTGCTATCCCCACATTCAATATTCACATTCTAAATTATTAAAATAAATATGTGAGGTTCTTACATTCTAACAATTTATCATTTACAATATCAATGTTGAACAGGTTTATTTGTTTTTCTTATATTTTGATATCAATAAGTAAAAATTGAAGACTAACAGTTGTCTTATTGGCATTTTTATGAATAGTAGTATGTGAAAATTTGAATCAACACCTGTTTTTGATCTTACTGAATATGCTAAGTAGTCAGTTTGAACCTTCTAAGTGAATCTCTACAGCTTTAATGTAAGACTAATATATGAATGCAATTGTAATTTAAATAAATGCATAAACTTAAGAGAGACCAAAAATATGCTAATACAAGAGTTCTGCTGCTGTTTGTAATTATTTATTTATTTTTTTGCATTTTATAGCCACTAACACAAAATGCAACAAGCTGCGATGTATTTATCTACAAGAAAAAGACCGTATGATTATTTGCGAGGGAACATCAGTGTGTGCACGCAAAGACCTCAATGGAGTCCTGCTACTGGACACAGCATTGCAAACTCCAGTATCCAAAACAGAAGACCTAGTCAAGGTTGAATTGCTGTTGGCTGAAGTAAGTTGTCAGAGTTTGAATCTTTATTATACAAAAACCTAATACATTCGCTAAAACAGTTACTTTGGTAATGTACATGGTATGACTACAAAATTGAAGTACCAAACACCAGTTTTTAGATGCTGCCTTTTAGGTGTGACCTAACTTTATTTATACCTAATTTATTATCATTTCAAGTTTCATGTATTCATCAAATGAAAAAAACAATCCTTGGAAAATACTTGTTTCAGCTGTATGGGATAAATGATTCTTTTTACTACAAATTAATCTAGAAAGAAAACTAATGATTTCAAACCTAGCAAAGAGCTTTTCAGTTTTCAGATCTCTTAACTACGAGGTGCTACCCAAAATTTTTGGGAAAATTGAAAACCAAAAATTATTGTAACATTTTTTTCCACAATGTCTTTAGAAGTAATCCCTTGGGCTTATATTTAGTCTCTTCACAAAGAGTAACTGAAAGTACGTACTAACTTTGGCTCATATACATTGTTAATATTCAAACTTTTCAGTAGCACTTGGTTTCCTTTTTTTTTTTTTTTTTTTTTTTTTTTTTTTTTAATCAAATATGTTTGTCCCTAATGTTTCTTGTATCTTGTGGTAATGACTCTTGAGTTCTCAAAAAAATTTATATCCCTTGACAAATATATTCAATTGCATATTAATGACGTTTCTTGAGATATTAAAAAGAATTTTTAGATAAAACTTATCTAAAATTTGAACTTGAAACAATTGCTTTTGAAACTTGTATTTATACTTGTACATACAGTCAGGAAGCAAAACTTATAAAATTGCTATAACCTTCAAAATTATTATTATTAATTAAAAGGATATTGACTAAACTTGTAGATAATATCAAAACAATTTATTCAATGTGGCTTCCATTATTTTTAATTTATAGCCTCAGTACTAACTGAAAAGGCTACATAGCTCTTAATCACACAGTCCTTGTACATCATGGCCCACTCCTTTTTGCTAGTATCATTGAGGATATTAATGATGGGATGGAAGACATTGTTAGTGGCTTGCTCCAAAATGTCCTGCACTGTGTAGTCTAGCAAAGTTCAGGTCTGGGTTTCAGGAGGGCCAGGACTCTGTTGGTTAGAAATCATCAAAGTTAGGTTCTAAGAGTTATCCTGGGTCCACACATAGTATCCCCCTGGGTAGTTAGCCTTGAGACAAAGCAAAACCTGGTATCTTGAGACTTTGTCATAACCAGCAGTACAATTTTTTTTTTTTTTTTTTTTCTTCGAGCTTGTAGATGTAAACAATGTTGATATTAAAAAATGCATCACACTGAATTTAAGAATATGCTAAAAGAGATTTAGATAATTAAAAATATTAATTATGGTAAATTATGCAGAGTTAAAATTGATACATGTATGATAGCAGGAGTACTTTATACAACAATATGAATATTTCAAAGAAACTAAGGATTGCAGTGGGGGAAAATATAGCTTAAAATTTTTCACTAATTTTCTATATAAAAACCTTCAAACGTTTAAATGTATGCCTAAAATTAAAATATACATGGCAATTAGAATGAATTGTATGAGAGAGTTCTATTAATAAGATTTGTCTTTTATTCACTTCAGCAAAATACTTTTATTTTCACAGAACTTGTGGGTACTTAAGATTTTCAGCTTCTTTTAGAAAGCCTGATTGTCAGTAGCTGATATCATAAACATCAGTGGACACTTTCTATTGTTTGCATTGTAATTTTGTTCTTATTGTCTGCCATTTAAATAAGGATTGGTAATTGCCAAAAAAAGATAACTTAAATTTTTGCACATTTCTGCTATTTGTTAATTCTAGATTGCACTAAATTATTCATAATTCATTTTATATTTCATTTCCTTTAGATATAATCAAATATAATAGGGGTTTTTATTTTTTCTATAATTTGAATACATTGAAATTTTGTTTAATGCACTTGGGTTAAAATCAAGAAATTTACCAGACTATTTTGAATCATTGATCACTTACAATAAAATTAATTCATATAACCTGGGCAGCAGGTTAATATTTGCCAGTTAACTTGTATTTTCTCACTCACCTGCTTTAAGTCTTTTATAGATTTTCTTTTCTATCTATAATATTGTTTAAACATATATAATTTTAAGTTATCTTAAATGACTAAAGTTTATAATTACAGATTTTTTTCTGTTAAATCATAAACACTTACTACTTGCGAAGTATTAAAAAATATGCTTGTTTAAACTTTTTAATCTGATGTTGTATGAGACTTAAATTTATTATTTATTTTATTTGTAGGCCAATCAACTGTTCAAGTCTCTGGCAGCTGCTGAACTTCCAGGCATTGACTATGTTGATGATGTTCTAAAAGAGCTTGACCGAGGTATTGATTCTATGCAAGAACTCACCAAAGCTAATCACAAAACTGCTAAGGTAACAATTATTTTCTGAAATTACTCTTGATGTATATTAATCTTTATATTTTAATTCTTACTAATATTTAGTGTATGAAATAAACTCGTTCCCAAGTACGAGACCAAGGATATGTTGAATGATTCAAAATTCATAAAATCTAGATATTTAACTTAATGTAAATAAATATATTAACTAGGTTGAAAGAGGTGTGTTTTTTTTTTTGTTTTTTTTTTTAGGGTGGGTGGGGGTTTTTCTTACCTTATTTAACAAAATTATAAATTAAGTTGTCTGAATTTTTGAGATGTGGAACTTTCATTATATGCACATTAATCTTGGTTGTTGTACTCAATGTTTTAGCGGTTTTCCTTAATGCTCAGTAACTTTGATTTTTGAGCCATGACATTCTGTTTTCTATGCTCAGAGAATGTCATATCAGTTAATATTCACCAGGTTTTTGTCATCTTGTGTGTTACATGTCTGTTTCTTCCACTGAGTCAGTACTACCAGGCCAAGAGCTTGAAATCACAACTCCAATGAACCAGATATGTTTTAACATAATATTTTAGTGAACAATTCAGTGATGAAATTATGGAGCCTTTAATCTGTCGTCAGGCAGTGTGGCTGTACAAGTGTCCTTTCTTAATCAATGACTCCCAGATGGTGTTCTTTTCTATACTAGGTCTCCTGGGGAGGTTATCAGTGTATAACATGTTCTAATTTAAGTCCTCTTCTCCATTGTTCTTTGGTTATTATCATGAGTTATCCTTTTCCTCCATATAAGATCAGTCATAACTCATTTCAATATCTCTTCTTGGACAACAGCTTTTTAATGTTCCTCCACTCTTACTTTTATGGAATGGTTAATCTCGCCTTTGTATTCCTTCTGACTCCTAACTGATTTACTCTAACCATAACTATGCCTATATAAGCCCACAGCCAGAAGACTCCTGGCTGAGTGGTACTTGACCTTGAAGTTTTTCATTTATTTGCTTCATTTCCATTTTTCCTACTTGTGGTTGGTTACTTTGAAGCTATCACCCTGATTTTACTGTTGATTGGCATAAAAACAACTAACACTTAGTCCAATTAACTTTGTGGAGGTTTTAAGCCATCTAGTGGGATCCATTGTATCACAATGTCATATAGGAAGAAAATGAGTAACTACCAACACCAAGCTTTGAGCATGACACTCTGGACTTATGGATATGTTTTCTACCAGTTGTATAAATATAATTAGTGTGAATTATTGTGCGTTGAAGATTTTGATTTTGGATTTACTGGATGTTAACAAGGTATTCACTGAAATGATTAATTAATGGTTGATTTTTTACTATGTTAAGTATCTATTTGTAGTTGTAATTAAATACTGTTTTATTTAACATTTAAGTCTTGAGTTGTACTTAATTATTAATGGCCACTCATGCAAGACGAAAAAACATCTTAACAGGATATTCAGTGAATATTTACCACTTTAGAAAAGTGATGACACATGGAACTATGAATTTTGCAAACTACAGATAAATAACCTGGTGAAGGTATTCAAAAATCAATTCAGCAGACTACAGGAAAATGGAAGAATTAAAGTCTGTCATGGTTCCAATGTTGGAACAACAATTGCAACAACAGAAAATTATGGAATTATTATTACATAGAACTTCACTGGAAAGAACATCAGATTTATTCACTCCAGAAGCTGTTGCCAATTCAATTAGTGAATTTTTATACAATCCAGATGAAGGAATAACATTTCCAATGTATTATAGAAGATACAGAGAAATCTTTAAAAAGGATTGTTTGCACTGGGATGGTGGTGGGGGGAGTTTGCTTATTATTAATACTGTCTTCTGTAAAACATGAAAAGTACATTAATTTTATTTTGCCAAAAAAAAAAACAGATAAATTTTGAAGAAACTATTAATTCTGTTGGAAATTTTCAGTGATAGGTGCTCACTATTTAACACACATTGGCAATGTCTTAGTAAAAGATAACAATGAAGATTTTGTCACTTATACTGGAGTAGTGAACTGGGAATGTGAGAAATTTAAATTGAATGAATTAACACTGGATTTATTCAAATGCCTAATATTTGTACAGGACTTAACTGCTAATAATGATGCTGAAATAAGAGCTAAGATACTGTCTAAATTAGAGATGGATTCAAAATTAACTCTCCAGAAAATAGCTGAAGAGTGTCAATACATGGTTAATCTGAAACTCAATACTGCAAGGATTGAGGAAAGAGACATTTTACATGTATGTAACATCTAACCATTTAAGAAAAAAAAGAGTATAGATCTTCTGCAACACCAAAGAGAGGATTCAAAAAAGATTATACACCTTTGTTGATACCCAGTGCTTGCCATGGTTGTAGTGGTAAACATTTTAAAAGTAATTGATTTTTCAGGAACAGAAAATGCTATGAATGTGGGAAGATTGGACACAAATTTACTCATTATAAATACAAAAAAAAAAAAAATAGGTGCATGTAGTAAATACTTTGTGTAAGGTAAAAAACTTTAAAAAAAGAAAACTTAAAAGAAAAATTTGTCAATGTGTCTTTAACTGAGCTAGAAACCTCTCAAAAGAGAAAATTAGTTTTTGTTAAAACTAATAATGTAAAAATAAAACTACAACTGGATACAAGGTCTGATATTACCATTATCAATGAACAGACAAGAAGAAAAATGGATAAACCCAGTTTAGCAACTTCTGAAAAAATTGCTCATGGAGTTATAGGAAAGAAATTGGACTTTGAGTGAGTTCACCTGCAATGTTTTTTTTTTTTTAAAAAAAAAAAAAAGCAGTTATGTTTGTGGTAAAGAATACAGCTAATTTATTTGGGACAGATTGGATTGTACTATTTGATCTGTGGGACCTTCCAATTACTTTATTCTGCAACAAAATAAATGTTGTTGCTTCTGGTACTAATATGACGGTCGAAAAATTAAAGAAAGAGTTGAAAAAAAAAAAAACTTTCCCAGAAGTCTTCTCGGAAAGTCTAGGTAGATGCACTAAAAAAAGTTTAAGTTTGAAGCAAAAAAAAATGTAACACTGGTTTTCAAACCAAAAAGAAGTATACCTTTTGCAGCATTAAAACCTATAAATAAGGAATTAGAAAGACTGGAAAAATTAGTTGTATCAAAAGTAGACAATTTTGAATGGGCATCACCAACAGTTTACGTGAAGAAAAAATATTAAATCAGTGTATGTGCTGATTTTTTTTTTGTGGGATTAAATGAAAGTTTGAAAGAATGTACATTCCCATTAAAACAAGTCCAGAGGAAATTTTTGTCAAATGGTGGTAAATCTTTTTCTAAATTGGATCTTTCAGATGCTTACCTACAAATACAAGTAGACAAAACGTGTTCTAAACTTTTAACAATTAACACTCATAAAGGACTGTACAAATTTAACAAACTTCCTTTCAGTATAAAGGTGGCACCAAGCATATTCCAACAGATTATGGATACAATGCTTGCTGGTTTGGATTGTGCACAAGATATTTGGATGATCTTATAAAAAGTGAAACCACAAACCAGCATATGGAAGATGTGAAAAAAAAAATTTTTGAAAGAATTAAAAACTGCAGTTTTAACATCAGTGAAGAAAAGTGTTCACTATTTATGAATAGTGAAATACCTAGGACAAATTATCAATGTAAACTGAAGACAACCAGACCCTTCAAGGGTGAGTCAATAAGGGACATGCCTGCTCCCCAACAAATGTATCAAAGTTACAAGCATTTTTAGGGTTAGCTAATTACTATCATGTGCATATACCAAACATGCATAAATTAACAGCACCCTTGAATAACTTGCTAAAGAAAGATATTAAATGGAATTGGTCAGATAAAGGTCAAAGTGCATTTGAAGAGATCAAAAAAGTGCTAATGTCACTAGCTCATTTTGACTCTAAATTAGAGATTGTGGTCGCATCAGATGCGAGTCTGGTATTGTAGCTGTGATACTACACAAATATGAGGACTGAACAATTAAACAATCTCATACTTCAAGAACATTAATAGATGAAAAAACTGCAGCCAGATTGAAAAGGAAGCATTGACTATCATATTTGCAACAAAAAAGTTTCACAAGTTTATTCATGGTAGACAATTCACCCTACAGACAGATTATCGTCCATTGTTGTCCATTTATGAATCAAAAAAGGGTGTTCCCACACATACAGCAAATAGACTGCAGTGCTGAGGCACTATCTTGTTAAAATACAATTATAAAATAGTTTCTATCATTCAAATAATCAAGTCATGCAGACGGACTGTCTAGATTAATACCAAAATTCTGTAAACCACTAGAGGACACAATAATTGCAGCAATAAGGCTGAAAATGAAATTATGAATGAATTATATAATATAGCAAAAGAACTTCCTGTAACATTAAAGGAAATAAGAGTTAAAGTGGAAAAAGATGACTTTATAATGAAAATGTGCATTAAGTATGCAGAGAGAACTGTGATACCAACATCATTGCAAAAATGTGTGCTAAAAGAGTTTCACGCAGGACATCCAGGAATTTCAAGGATGAAATCCTTAATGAAGTGTTATATGTATTGGCTGAAAATAGACCAAGATATTGAAAATTTAGTAAAATCATGCAGAGATGGCACTCTGGCATCAAAGTCACCACGTATTAAATTTGGCCAAAAACTTATATTCCATGGTCCAGGATACACATGAACTTTGCAGGACTGTTAATCTATATTAAAATATAGAAAACTGACTGCCACAGACCCTATAACTTTCTTACACAAGATTTTTGCAAGATTCAGTGTAGCCGATATTATTGTTACAGACAACAGCACACAATTCACGTCTAGTGAATTTTAGGGATTTTGTAAATCATTAACAGTAGAACACATTACAATGCCCCCCTTGTCACCCAAGAAGTAACAGACAAAGTGAACGGTTTGTTGATACTTTTAAAAGAGCATTAACAAAGTCGGAGGGAGAGGAGGCTGATGAAGTAATGTTACAGCAATTTTTGAGTTTTCAGAATAATG